CCCCCCCCCCGGCCGAGCTCTCCTGCTGCACCGGGTGGGCGAGTCCTCCTCAAAGTGGGTGATGGCGAGGCAGGGCTTTTCTCCACCTCCTTGCCAATCACTTATCGAGCTACTCTATACCAGGACCAAGAAGGTGCGATCGGGTGGCTGCTATTCGCCCGGGCCACACTTCCATAGTTTAGACGGTACATCATGCACCACCCCGTAGTGTAGTTGCCTACAATACCTGCTCGGACCGGAAGGCATTGTCCATAAAGTACGCCCGTTGTATACTCGGATTCATTCGGCAACGGAAGAATGCCGCCTGCGAGACTCGGGGGTAGGCCACCCCGCAGTACACGCGTGCGCTGCAGGCGAGATGTTGCCTACCCACCAGGCGCTAGGAGAGCTTGCAAGAGGCTGAACTTTGGCAGGATCAAAGCAGCGAATGACGGACGTTCTTTCTGCGCGTGCGTGCGGTACTCTAGATTGATATTTCTTCCACCAGTGCACGGAGCCAAAGAAATCTTGTGTGCGGATCTGCATGAAGGGGAAAAGCGAAACCCTCACAGACATCGGCCGACATGAGGGATGTTGACAGGGGCCGATGTAGCAGGTGACTGCATAACCGTACGCTCTAAACCTGCTGCACAAACAGGTCTCGCGACCAATGTGTTCACATTATATATTAAATGAAACACTTTTGCTGCGCGCGCGGACGAAGGTGCGCCGAGAGTGCAAGCAGACAGGCAGGCAGTCGGATCGGAGCCGCTGCTGCAGCTGCGCGCCCGGGAGACAACATGAAGGATTTATGCACTTCCTTTTCCTTCTTTCGGGCCGCGCCGCGCCGCGTGGCGCTTACCCCGCGGGCCGCCAGCGGGTGGCCATGCTAATGACGGAACATGGCACCAGCAGCGCCAGCGCCTCGGTACACATGCACAGCCGGCATTATTGCATCGACGGCCAAATGGGAGGAGGAAAAGGCCAATGGAACAGGAAGTGCATCGGGTGCAAACGGAGGGGCCGCCCCCCGACCCGACCCGACCCCGCGCTGGGGTGTCGGCCCGTCCGTCCGTCAGTCAGTCAGTCGGGCGTCCAGCGGCCGCGGAAAAGAAGAATATCACAATCATCTCATAACCCCTTCGCCGGGGCGTGACTATACGGTTACATGCAGCAGGCCTCCCGTCGGGCCGAGATGAGGGAAAGAGAAGAGGTAGTGAGCCGAGTGAAATGTCGGGGGAAAAAACGAGACGCTGCAGCAGCCCGGCGGGGGCGGAGCGGGTGTGTAGACATCACGCACCAGATTTCAACCGATTTTTTTGATTTTGATTTTTTTTTCGAGCAGCGCACACGACCGATACATTAGGATCACGTCTGCCTCCGCACACTCTTCTGGATCACCGAGGGGGAGCCGCGCGCGAAAGAGAAGCAGACGGACGGGCAAGGTCACGCGCGGCCGGACCCGTGCCGCACCCCGCGGCCGCCATTGTCTGCGCGGCGGGTGCGTCTCGCCGCTTAGGCGCCTCTAATGACACCCCGGAACACGCCGGAGCACTCCGAGGCCCGCTGAGGAGAAGAGCCGTGCGAGGACACGTCGTCTTATCTCGGATGGGAAGTACCTGCTCGGCGACGACGGTCCCGACACGACCCCGACCCCGACGCGGCATCATAGTCGTTCGGCTCGAGAAGAAACAACAACGTTTTGCGTTTTTGCCTTCGGGCTTATTTTGCAAATCAGCCACCAATCCATTTGAAATGAAGAGAGAGAGAGAAAAAGCTGCTTGTAATGGCACAGTTAAACAGAAAAATTAGCGAGCGGGAAAATGCGAGTAATTGCTTGGCAATACAGTACTTGTGAGCGGCGGGGCGGCGGGCTTCTAGGCCGCGCTGCGGTGCGCCGGACACAGCGGGCCTCATTTAAGTATGGGTAAAACACGCAGTCCGCTTTACGTTGTAAGCGCCGCACGCCGGCCCCGGCCCGGCCCGCCCCGCCGCCCCACACTCATCCCATCTTATTCCGTCTTATTATAACCCGCGCCTAAACTAGCCGGCGATTAGCGATACTTTCTCCACGCCAGGCCACGCCTCCGCCCGTGGGTACCATTTTTCGAGCGCCACGACGGCGGCGGCGCGGACGGCGGGGACCTGCTGCATGGCGGGCATTGCTCGCATGGCGGCGGGTGTGTTGCAAAAGTCCGGCACTCTCGGCACTCGCGGTATCTGCGGAATGGGCGATAGCAGAATGCAACGTCGGCCAGCTGTGGTCCTGATATAACGGTGGGTATAACCGGGCTGTGCTGACCAGGGCCAGAGGACGCCAGGAGGAGGGCAGGAGGTATACCCACCGGTCGCGCGGCGGCCAGCGCCCAGGGCGGGATGTGCACGTCGGGCGGCTGCCCGCAGCTCGGGCACAGCGCCGTGCCCGCGGCGGCCTCCACCTGCACCGCGAACGCGGGCTTCTTGACCAGGACGAAGCTGTCGCTGCTGTTGCTGTTGTTGTTGTCGTCCACCAGGTGCTGGTACTTGCTCTTCCGCTCGTGCTTGTGTCTCTTGACCCGCGGCGCGCCCGCCGGCGAGAAGGCGTGCGGCCGGAGGCACAGCGGCACGGCCTTGCTGTCCGGCGGGGGCGGCAGCGGCGTCTGCTGCTTGGGGGACGCCGGCACCCCGCGGAGCCCGTGCTGTGCGCCGTGCTGAGCACCGTGCTGAGCGCCGTGATGCGCCCCGTGCTGCGCGCGCGGCGTGGGCGCGGCGACCAGCGCGGACGTGGAGGCAGCGCGGCCGGGGGGTGGCGTCGGCAGGATGAGGGCCGGCCTGCCCCCGCGGTGGCTACGCCAGGACGCGCCCCAGGACTCGTCGCGCCGCAGGGCCAGCGGGGGCGGCGCCCTGGCCGGCACCCTGCCCAGCGCGGGGGTGGCGCCCGGGGGCGGCGCCAGCACGATGCCCGCGCCCAGGCGCACGTTGTCCAGGCTGCTGTACACGGGCTCGGGCTTGAAGCTCCACAGCGGTGGGTCCTGCTGCGCCAGGGAGTCCCTGCTGGCGGAGGCCGGCGCGCCGCTCAGGTCCTTGAGGCTGCGGTGGAGCACGTTCTCGGCCGCGGTGGGTCGGAACGGCTTGACGCTCTGCGAGGAGAACTGGCGCTTGAGGGAGTTCTCCGGTGGCCAGCAGGCGTTGTCGCGGCGGCGCGCGTCCCGGTGCACGTCCTGGAGGCTGCTGTAGATGTTCTCGTCGCGGAGGAAGCTGCGCCGCAGCACGTCCCCGCTGGGCAGCGACACGTCGCGCAGGCTGCTCGCCTGGACGTGGTGCCGGCGCTCCGCGTCGCCGCTGGTCCTCCTGGAGGTCCTGGAGGCCCTCGCCGCGGCCGTCGGCCGGCTCCACGCCATGTTTTCGTACACGGGCGCGCCGTTGCCGTGCGGCTGGAAGCTCCTGACGAGCGCGTGCTCCAGGGCCTGCTTCACATGGGCCACGTCGGGCCGCGCTAGCGTCTCGTAGGACCGCCAGACGGCGGGCGCGCCGTCCTGGCGGCCGGGGGGAGCCTCCTCGCACAGCAGCACGTCCCGGGCGCGGTCCGCGCTCACGCTGCGGTACTCGTGGTACACGCGCTTGGGCTGGTCCTGGTGCTGCTGCGGGCGACGCCTGCAGCAATCCTTGCCCTTCTTAGACGCCGAGGGCGCAGCGTGGTGGCCGCGGTGCACGCACGGCGCGGAGAGGGCCTGGTGCACGCAGGGCTCGGCCGCCCGGGGCTCCTGCCTCGCCTCCGGCCTGCATTTGGGCCTGCTCGTCCTGCTGGCCGGCGGGTGCGGGCCGCCCTGCTCCGGGGAGCCCGCCGACGGCGACCTGCGCGCGCGCTGCGGCCGCTTGTTGTGGTGCAGCGCGCTCTTGAAGCAGTTGTGGTCGTACTGCTGCATCCTGCTGGGGCAGACCGCCTGCTGCCCCACCTGCTGCTGCCCAGTCTGCTGCTGCCCAGCCTGCTGCTGCCCGGCCTGTTGCTGCCCCATCCCGGGGAGCCTGCCGGCCACGCTGTCGTGGATCCTGGTCATGAGCTGCGGGTCGTACGACCCGTTGCTGGCCGACACGAACCACATGGTCATCGTGGTGCCCCCTCCGTCAAGAGCTCATATCACTCGGCACCTCGCGGCACGCACCCGCGACACGAGCACGATACGACGTACTACTTCCGCACGCGACGACGGCGTCGTGTCACCCGCTGCACGCGCACGCACGCACGCGCCGCGCTCACCCGCGCATGTCCCGCCGCGGAACACGCCCACTACATACAGCACTCTCACGCGCCCCCAACACGCGCTGCTCCGCACTCGCCGCACTCACAAGCAGGACCCGACACGGCTGACCGGACCCGACTGGACCAGCAGGAGCGTGGAGCGTATAGCGGCCGCGGACTGGGCCGGACTGAGAGGCTGCGCTGCGGCGATTCGGCGGCCGAGGGACGCGCGCGGCCGGACGGGTCGGGCCGGGGCCGGGACGGGTCGTAGAGAGGTGAGTTGTGCCCCGCGGGGTCGCCCCCCACCTCTTTACCCTTTCCCTTTGCACTCTCACACACACGCACGCACACACACGCACACTCGATACACTCACACACACTCGGCGCTGACATCCGGAACAGCCGCCCCTTCGGTGCGGCCCAGCCGGTCCCGCGACGACCACCTCCGCATCGCCGCCGCCGCCACCACCACCGCCTCGCCGCCGTCCTAGACACCTGGCCGGACAAGTCGCCGGACCTGTCACCCGATCTATCCTCGCCAGGTGCGCGACGCGGGAGCACGGCGACGATGCGGATCGGAAAGGTGGAGGGGTGGTGGTGGTGGTGGAGGGTCCCGCGATAGTCTCTCCTCTGGGTCACTGGGTTGGCGTCCGTGTTGTTGTCGGCGTCGTGGTCAGCGCTACCGCAGGACGCCCCCCCTCCCAACCAACACACACACACACACACACACATTCACCCGACGTGGACACAGCACAGCAGGGAGCGAGTTTGAGTGGGAAAGTGGAAGGAAGAATCGCATCGCCGCGCGACTAACGCGAGTGACACTCGACCTGATCGCCCGGGCCCACAGCGCACAGGTCACACGCGCCGCGCCGGCTCCGCGTCGTGGAGTGGAAGAGGCCGCCGGCCGAAAATGAGTCCAAGGAAAGTGATCGAGCCTGACGAGAAGACGGCCGCCTCTGTTTTCAGATGCCACACACCACCGCGGCACCCAATTCCCCCGGACCTCATCAACAGTTTTGACACGAGCGCCACTTCCATCCGCGGGCCCAAGAGAAAGAGAGTTGCAGCAGCTCATCAGCTCATCGCGCGGTCGCCCTTCTGGTGCAGCGCAGCCGCAGCTCGTCGCCGCGGGGCCCGCCGCCGCGCACATCCGTACCTCCAGAGGGCGGCGCGGCGTTGAGGGATGTGTTTGTTTTTACTTATACAGTTTCGGATTCCTTTTCCCCTTTTCCCCGACGCGCCGTTTTTGCCGCGCGGCGCAGAGGCGAGGCGACGGCAGCAGGCAGCAGGCAACAGCAGCGCACGCGTAAACATTTCCGACCCGAGTGATTTGAGAGTCGCGCATCGGAGCGTCGCGACGACAGGACAGAGAGGCGTCCCGCCGCCGCCCCGCGTCTCGTCCCGCGCGGCCCGTGGACAATTATGGCCATTTCTAAGAGAAAGAGAAAACAAGCGGCAGCCGTGGCGGCAGGCGGCCACCGGGCGCGCGCGGGGACCCCCGGGGGCACCGCGAGGGACGCGGGGGGCGCCGGGGCAGCACGCCGTCGAGAGGGGCCCCAGGGCGACCGACCGACAGCGCGGCCGCAGGGCAGCTCCGCCCCCCGACTCGATCCTCCTCCTCACGCCAAGCTTGTTGTGGCGGTTGCTTAAAAACGCGAAGAGAATGCCGCGCCCGGTAATCCGGAAGAAGAGGTGTACGGCAGGCGAGCAGTGGATAACCGGAAACACCCCGCGAGACACGCGTGCCCAGGCCTGGTCCGCCGGCACATCCGTCGATGACGGAAACGGGCACGCCTCTTGGGCGCGTCGGCTAACTCCCCGGTCCGGCAGGCGGGTGTCGCCACGCCTGCCACGCCTGCCCCGCACCGCCAGCGGGTCCCGAACACCTCCTCTCTGCTCAGCCGCTGGCGTGAAGCGATTGAGCAACGCGATGCGTAGGACCGGTCAGTGCCAGGGCGGTCGGCAGACAGGGAGCCCACATATCACCGCCGTGCCCGTTACCCAATAATGCGTAGATCGGAGCGCTGACCGCATGATCTGCTGCCCGTGGCATCCGTCTTCTTCCTCGGTGAGCCGCGTCGTGTAACTGCTCCCGTTCAGTGACGCTCCAAACCCAATTCTACTCTTCGGGGTCATCCAGAAACTACGTCCATCATTCGTCGTTGCGAACCTGCCAAATTCAGCCAATGCAAGCCCTCATAGCGCCTGATGGGTAGGCAATATCTTGCATAAAGCGCATGCGTGCACAGCGGGGTGGCCTACCCCGAGTTTTGCAGGCGCCGAGCTGCCGTAATTTGCCGAATGAATCTCAGAAGAGCGGACGTAATTTCTAGACGATATATAGCGCCCGTTCACCACACTAAGAGGCTGGGCCAGGGAAGGCGGGTCTTTCGATTCGGCCCGTCCACAGAATTTACGCGATGAGAAAACACGTCCACAAGTTTACATCCAATGATTTGGACGTAAATTAACAGATGCGTCTGTTACGTCCACAGTGTGGACGTACCTACGAGCCGTGTGATTCTAGTGAAATTAGCTCCACAAAATCTGTTGCCATTTGTCTCCTTTCATTTACATCCACGCGGATGACATTCTACCCTCACTGTGAAAATCCACCTCTACGGCAGTTGCAAGAGCTGGACCAAAGTCCTACACACACACACACACACACCTAAGTGTGGGTGAAGCTCGTGCTACTCTGAAAACTCTAGAAATACGCTCTATGCGCGGGACTTCCCACCCTTGATCGAGTTGTTAGATTTTCATAGAGTTAGCGCGAGCGTGGGGTACGCTGGTGGTTTGGGCCAACTGCATTGCCGCTCATGTCCCGCTCTACACAGTCGCGGCCGAGACAACGGTAATTTTCATTCACTGATAAACCAAAATTATTCAACTCTTTAACACTTGCAAGGGCCTGGCACAACAACTCTGTTGCACACTTACAAGTGTTGAATAGTTAATCACTTAGTTTATCAGTGTAGAGGGGAAACAGGCAAA